TGAAATCCTCACATTACAGCACATGCTCACACGCTGATGTATGGATTCTGATAGGCAGGCCATCAAGCTTCAGCCTCTCAGTTAAGCGCCTGAGCGACAGTGTCTGTCAATCTCGCTGTCTCTCCTCGTGGCTTAGTGAAATCAACACCCAGCGCTACCGTCAGCTCACCCGCATCAGTGCTTGTGGAATAATGACTGAGATCAGGGTGGCCAAGAGCACCTTATTGGACGGGCTCCTCAGCAGTCCCCACAGTAAGCCTTTTCTCAGGAGACGATGTCTCAGTGATGTGAGTATTTCTTTCACTCGCTGGCAGTGAGAGCTTCTTCTCACTCCTGTTATTGTTGCTTGTTTAGTTCTCAATGTGGCTTAGAGACAGATTTATACTTGTTTGGTGCTGCAGAAAAGGAGATATTGGATTTTTGTTCAATGTACAGAAGGATAGCAACATGCTTCACTGCCTGGGCTTCGGATCTGATCTGCGCAGAGGCAGAATCAGCTGTGTTTGTTTATCTTTTCTTTTTCCTTGATAACTTGAAATGTATTATGTTTAAGTACTTTTCATCCTTCTTATCTGCACAGTCATGTCAGTTTTCAAGAGAGCACATTTTAAGAGGCACTGACCGCATGGTTTGTGTAATAATCAAGCACACATCATAGGATTGAAAGGCAGTCGTGAGAAAGTCATTACACTAAAGCAAGGCTTCACCACCAACCTAAATAAAATAAAAACATGTCGATAAAAGCCTCGCCGTCATGATGGTGAAATAAGGTCTGAATAAAATCTTTAGACAACTTTCACTTCCGCTATAGATCGCGAGGGCAGTTTGATTGTATTCTCTGCTGCACTAAAAACAATAATAATGTATAACATAAGAGCAAATTAAAGCTAACAGATGGACATGGATGACTTTATGGTGGCAAATAGAAGGCTATCTGAAGACTTAGTTAAGCTTCTTCTACATCTGTAGAGAAATAATGATAAAGCTAGTGTTTGGACATGCACATTCTGATGGTGACTAATAATAGTCGGAATAAAAAAAAATACTCTTCAGACAACTTCAATTGCAAAAGTTTTATCATAGTCTTCATTTGACAGTACTGTTTATACTCCATATCGATAAAGTTAAGTCAAGTCATCTATTTTAAAAAGAATTGACCACATTTGTTTTACATCAATCAATATAAACAACACACTGTAGGATTAAAAGGCAGAAAACTACAAGTATTACTAACTGAAAAAAACATAAAGGATGAAAAACAGCTAGTGTGTGAGCCGGCACGTTTACACAATGACGGGTACTCGCAGACAATATAAAGAGAGAGAGAGACAGAGAGAGAGAGAGAGAGAGAGAGAGAGAGAGAGAGAGATATATATATATATATATATATATATATATATATATATATGAAGGAGGCTGATGTCAGCTATTGGTTATTCTTTCACAATTCAGTGCCAACAACTGGAAATACTCCTTCACCTTCTGCATTAAACATCAGCATCAACAGCTTTGGTTCACGCACCTCCACAGCCCAGGTGTGTGGATCCCAACCTTTCTCAGTCTGCGTGGTTGATTATGTGCTCAGCGTGAGGCCATGTTTGTTGATGTTTGTTTTGCAGTCGGGAGAGCAGTCCCTCTCTCTGAATATCATATGGCACTGTTTGTTTTTCACATGCCACAACAGACCGAGGCTGCACCTTGGGCTTTACTAGGTCGGGGTCAGCGGAGAGGAGTGCGTTTTATGGCTGGTAATATATAGGTGTGTTTAGACATGTGTGTTTAAGTAAAGGAGGGAATGTTTATATGCACAGGTAAGCTTTCTCGTTATGAGGCTTTGTGTGTGTGTGCGTGTGTGTGTGTTTCGAGCCCGGCAGTAAATATAAGCTGTCATGCGGAAACATCAGCTTGGCACTTCAGTCCACTTGTGTTACATGGTGAGCAGAGGTCTCGCCCCCACAACAAGCAGTGCCGTCGCGGCGGCTGAGATCCTCTCCAGCTTGGGTTTGGAGCCGATTCAAATCCTGGACATGGCCTCTTGCAGATGCAGACATGCATGCCTGATGCTCTTTTCTTCTCTCTTCACCTGTTACAGTGCCTCGGTTAATTAGAAAACACACTTAATTGTGCTCTGTGGCAATGCGTGGTCGAGGTGTAATTATAAATCCAGTAACTGGTTGAAGCGTCCTTGTCTAATGAGAAGCACAGGTATCAGAACACCACTGCACCACTGACATGAATCTAAGTATTCAGAGGATCAAGTTCAGCTTATTTATTATTCCTGCCATGCACACACTCTTTATCAGGGGATTTCTTGATGGTTCACTCATTAAACAATAATGTAATGTAAATTCCACCACCAGGGGGCATCAAAACAATAACAATATGATATGATGTCGACGCTGGCGGGGAATAATGGGAGTGATAGTCTCTGCTACTCCCCCCCCTCCCCCTGATGAAAACAAACTCTGAGTTGACCATAGTGAAGACGAACAGGCGAAACAGACCTGAGGAAGAGAAAATGTTTACAGACGAGCTAATGTATCCACAACGTGTGCACACATGACGTTTTTTTTTATCACAGCAGCACATACAGCAACAGCGGTCTTTGACTTAACATCCGGCGTTTCCATGGCAATGATTAACATGTTGTGTCTGTCATGGAGGCTCTGTATGTTTGTTGGTGTCAGCGACCTTCGGTGGGCGCCAAAGCACACCAGGCCAAATTCCTACTTATTGTTGCACTGCACATCATAAAACATATTGTTTCCTGCACATCCTCAGTGGTAAATAGCTTAGATTTCTATCTTAACTTCAGCCCGCTTCTTCAGACCAGGGCCAAGCCAACCGCAAACTCCTGGTATTAATAAGTTCTAATTAATAAATTACTGTTCCTTTAAAACCCCAATTTAATAAAAATCCCTTTAATGTACCTGAGAGCTTCAGCCTCGTAAATCACAGCGTCTTCCAGTGTAGTTTGGCCGTCACACGAGCTGTTGGCTGTAGCAACAGTGACAAGCACCGCTGAGCTCTGCGGCTCTTTCTCCCTCCAGAGTTGCTTGTTTTTCAGAGTGTTTGTCTTCAAGTGCAGAGGAACCGTTCTCCTGGAGCTGAAAAAGAGTCTCAGTGAGATAGTTGTCAAGTGGGTTGGGGGGGGGGTTCTTTAGGGATGTAATAAAAAATGAGACGGGTTGTCAAAGATTAAAAACAGGAGGGTTCATGTCTTGAGATGAAGGTTGAGCAAAGACAGCAGGGAAACATCAACACATCAATGAAACTTTTTTCCCTCATTGGATCTGTGTCGACTCTCTCCCTCAGAGCTCTGACCTGTTTGCCATGATCGAGAGGATGCAGGTACTGTCAACGCTCCCGGGGCTTTAACTTTTGTACTCGCTAAACTCTTTCTCACAAGCTTTAATCAAAGGCCGTCCTCAGACTTTCACTCTCTTTGGACACAGAACATCCATGCTTCTATTTCTGGACTTCTGTTCTCTGCTCTTCCTGCTATTTTTGTATCCCAGATCACAACTCTGCACCTGCGGCACTTTTTAAATGCTTGTCCGTGTATCCCTTCCTATGCAGATCATGTGTTGTTGTTTTTTGTAATTGCAGTAGTGATAGCTCGAGCCTTTCTTTACAAACCTGAAGCTTAGAGATGTGCTGAACAAATCTTCAGTGTTTTCTCTGCACAGCTGTGTAGTTTTTTCTTCTTCAGGGATTTTTTTTTTTAATGTGCCGAGATGGATTTGTGGAGCTGTAGTTTTTTTTTTGGCCCTGGATGTCAATTTATTTTCAAAAACCAGAAGCTGGAACAGTGGATTTTAGATCAGCCACTAAAGGCATCCACATATTGTCTATTTACTCATGATTATAGTTCAGTTTCCTACCGTTTTCTTACTTGTTATTGGACTAAAGCACTCTGCAAAAAAACAAAGGTATTTTTGTGTTTCCTTGGCAAGTAAAGCCGGCATGAAATCGACCTTTCAGCTTTGGCTTTGCTGCATCACGGTTAATTTAAAAAGGATCCTTAAACACTTAAAGAATCATTATATCTGAAACCTTTTAAGGTTTGAAGTGGTGAGCATCAAACAACATCTTTCTTTAGTTTTACTGCTGAAGCCAATGGAAAACATGTGTGTTAAAGAGTGCTCTCTAGCCGTGGAGATCCCTGTTGGTAATGCGCTCATTTAACAGTATTGTCTAGTGTGTTTTGGAGCTTTTTTGGGGAGGTTTTTTTTTTGGGGGGGGGGGGTTCAAACCTTTGTTTACTTCTGGTTGTAAAGCACCTGAGCAGCACAGGAGCAACTCACCCAAGCATTAATACAACAGTAGTAGCATTAACATTAGTAACATACATTCTCCAACAGGAGAATGAGGAAGAGAAACACAAAACTGCAGACTCGTCTTCAAAGTTAATAAAAGTGCTTTCCAATCCCCCAACCCCTCCCTTGAAACAGTACATCAGATTTGATATACATTTCAAGTCATGCTGCAGGGTTTTGGACAATAACAGGGGCCACTGATCAGGAATGCTGAGTAACTCATCTCTCTCTCGCTCAGTGCTTTAGGAACTGTCAGCGTTTATGAGTAAGTGGCAGAATAAGGATAGATTGGATTGTAAGCCTTGTTTTGACAGTTTTTGGCCTTTAAAAGAAACTGTGGTTGATGAGGCCTTTAAGTTTGGCTTGATGGAAACACCTTCCCTGCTCTCATGGACTTCTGCTTATCTTTCCTAACGGCCCCCGTATATATCACTTCCTTTACTTTCTGTTTATGTGGCCCATCTGGTGGTCGAGCTTGTGTTATGTCAACATGAATTATTGCCACTGAGCTGCCGCACAAATAATGTCAAGAAAGCTCAAAATCAAAAAACGCTCTGTAATGTGCTCCTTTGTCTATCTTTGCAGGTGTGAAGTGTTTTGTGGATATTTCACCTGTTCCCTCAGTATTGTTTCATCTCTCTCTCTCTCTCTCTCTCTCTCTCTGTCTCTCTCTCTCTGCAGGGTTGCAGAATGGATGAGCAAAGATGCTCCCTCCCTCCCCCGCTCAAAGTGAGTCACAAATCCTCCCTTCTCCCCACGGAGCACAGTGTGGTAAAGCATCAGAGTTAAAAACCTTTCGTTATCAGCTGTCAGACAGGCTTTAGGATGCTCTCTGGCTGAGTTAGGTGCACAGCGAGGACTAGGAGTGCAAATCCTAAAATGTCCTGTTTTCTGGAAAGGCTGATGTAGGTGGCATTGAGAAAACACTCTGAGGTCCAGTCAGAAAGGGCAATAGATGGTAATCGTCTGAAAGAAGAAAATAAAGTGATTTATTGCAGGGGGCTGACAAGAATCAGGAAGGTGTTCCAGCCACCTCTTATATGTGTAAAGTGGTTTTGGAGTAAGAAAAAAGTTATCTGCAGCTACAGCTTAGTGTTCAAATATAAAGGCAGGAATAGCTACTGAAGAAAAGTCTGTGGAAATCTGAGCGTACACTCATCTCCGATTGCTGACCACCTCATTCCAAAACCGTGAGATTTAAAATGCTGCTGTAACAACATACACCCCATAACATAACTGTTGGTTAGTTAAATAGTTAAGCTCTGAACTGACAATGAAACATTTAAAAATTGCCCTTTCAATTTTGTTCACACGTTCATGGTTCCTCAACGAGATCCACTGAATCCTCCTCTATCGACAACGTTTGATTGGGGTTATTGGTTTCTATTGAGATGTCTTGGGAACCAGACGAGGGATAGCGATACACTTTTTGTACAGATATCCTTGAAACCTAGAGGATGGTTCCTCTTTAGTTTGTTGATCTGACTCCTTGCATCATCTTTGCGGTTTCCAAAGAACCTATAATGAAATGTCATAGGAACGCTTGTACTTTGTTTAACAAAGTTTTTTGTTGCTTTCACTTGGTTTTGAACAGAGTCAAACTATCTTGCTTTCACTTCTTTCACACATAGCCTTTTACTTCTAATGGAACAAGTCCAGTCGTGCTCTGCGGGGATTGTCGAAAGGCTTTTTGTTGAGAATTGGAGAAAATCACGTCTGAAACTGAGGGAAATTTGGTTTTGTGCCAAAGATGGAAATCGCAGCATAACGTTCCAAAATGGTTTTAGTTGTACAACACAGCAGATAAATGCCACAGCACAGCTACAGGGTGAAAGGAGAGAGGAAATGTTTGCTATGTGATGTCTGATGATGTCTTTTTAATAGCTCTTAATGCATAAGCGACTAGAAAGTGAAAGTACATTTCTTGAGTTGGAGGCAGAATTCAGTTTCTCTTCCAACGCAGAAGGTGATGTTCCCTTTTTATCTCTATACTTAATCGTTTTTGCACTGAGTCTTTGGAGGATATAAAACATGTCAGCTTATCCCAAACCACTTGCAATTTATTACAAGTTCTGTGAATGTAGACTCAAACCTCAGAAACTGGTTGTTGCCAACAAAATGTCTTCAGCAGGAAGGATTTCGTTTTGTCAGACAGACAGCTAATGTGGCTTCTGTCGTGTTTGCAGTAAAACAAATGTAACCGTGAAAAATGCAGAACTGGATGACAGTATGGTTAATGTTCTGTCACAGCTGGGGTTTTTTATTTTCATTGTTATTTTCCTCAAAGAACCAAAACTGAAAGCACGACTTGAAGCTGCTGTTTGTCAGAATGACTCATTTTTGTTTCTCTCCCTGCAGACAGAAGAGGACTACATCCCTTACCCCAGCGTTCACGAGGTAAATAATGTCCTCTCTGCACAAATCCATCACACTCTGCACTTTATATTTTATAGACGTCAGAAACTGCAAGGCTCAGAGTTTAAATAAGAAAAATAAAGCATACATTTTCTGCAAAAATACAAGTAAATGTTGAGCTTTGTACAACTAACCGATTTATAAATGCTAAATTAAATTTGTTTTCATATTACTTCCATTCAGGTTCTGGGGCGCAGGAGCCCTTTTCCGCTCATCCTGCTGCCACAGTTTGGAGGCTACTGGATCGAGGGGACAAACCATGAGCCTAAAGACACACCAGAGACAGAACAACCCCCCTGTCCCACCTCCCAAGTCAAACTGGAGACAAACAGCATGGCCAAGATCTACAGGAAGCAGTTCATGGGCAAAGTAAGGATGGGAACAGGGGGGTTGGTTTTATGCAATACTACAGAGAAAAAGTATGTATTTCTCTTTAAACCTTTGCGTCCTAGCGTTGAGATGTCTCCAGATCTGTTTCAGTCAAGAAAAGTGGCGCTTGAAAATTTTCTGTTTCAAGAAATTGTCTAAATTTTGTTCACAAATAGATGGTTTGGGTAACTTAAAGGTCCTATATAATGCAAAAGTCCAAGAAAAAAGTGTGTTCGTTTTGAGATTTTCCCTTCATGACATCACAAAGGGCAGTAACCCCTCCCCCAGGTGGTGACACTCCCACAGCTAGGTGTTTGTTCTGCCCTCTGAGTCTGCCATCTAAACATAAACAATCGGACATGAAGCAAGAAAGCCTGAGCCCCCCCGAGTCCTTCCAGAGAGGGGCGTGGTCAGAGACTGCTCATTTACATTTAAAGCTACAGACACAGAAACAGCCTGTTCTGAGGAGGCTGAAAAAGAGGGGTTTATAGACATGATCAAATGGAGATGATTTTTGGCGAGAAACTTCCCAGACATGTTTTAGGGACGTTGTTGAAAAGGTGCACACTGAGACAAAGAATCATCTATGTCAGATTGTGTGCAACCTTTTTATCCCTGTCACTTTTACAGATCGATACCACAACTGCTTTTCATTCTCACAGAGTAAACCATAGGCCGCGCAACAAGATTGAGTCATATGTATTATCTCATTTTAAACTGATTACAATTGGGCCAAATACTGAAGTTATTTCCACACATTTTTCATTAAGTGAAAGGCAGTCAGACCTCATTACAGTTCCTGATTATTCTGCTTAAATCTTGTGTATCACTGCTGAAGTGTAAGAGTTGTACTGTGTGTAGTTGTCACAATAGAAACAAACAAGAAGCATTGATGGTTAATCTACGGTAAAACCTACTCATTAATGAATATATGAATGAATACAATCATTTTCTGCAGTGTCCCTCTCCGTCTGGGCAGCAGCAGAGCTGTTTCACTGCAATAACATTTATGGATTCATCATCACTTCACATTATTTCAGTCTGACAGAAACAGACAGCTGGTGATCATTAATTGTTGTGCGGATGAAATGACGTGCATAACGTCCCCTTTTATTTGAGCGCCCACACGGCTTGAAGCAGAAAGCCTCAGTTAAAAAAACCAAAATACTCTTCACCAGCTTCTTGCGACCGGATATCTCTTATTGGAGCATTAGGCTTTGTTGAGCAAGCCCACTTAAAGAAAGCCCCGGTATGTTGATCTGCTACGTGACACTCCCCTCTGCTGCAGAGTCTGATTGGTTGCTTGTTACTTAATTATTCCACACATTGCACCTGTATAAAAGCATTTGCATGCATAATTCTTCTCCTGATGTTTTCCTTTCATTCGCCTATGAACCACTTTTTGTGCATTTCAAGTAATCAAAACAACACTAGTGTCACCATATGATGCTCTATGATTCTTAACTGAAGGACACATTATCAGCATGTAAAGATAATAAATCCTCTACATACAAGCAGATAAAAAAAGGGGGTTTTGAAATTCACTGACCCATAATTTCAAACATTTTCCTCAAGGGGAATTAGCATGCCTTAATTAAAAGACTGTCAGTGTCTCCACCAATGTACATTTTTAATGTATTCCTCGCTGTTTTTAATTATTATTGTGTCAGCCATTGTCAGGAGCTGGATGAGGATTCATCCTTGCATTAAACCTTCTTCTGCTTATCTGCCCTCAGGAACACTTTAATTATTACACCATAGATGCTGCTCTGGGACACTTGGTCTTTTCCATGAAGTACGATGTCATCGGGGATCAAGAGCATCTGCGCTTGATGCTTCGGTAACAATTCCCTACTTCCTTTATCTCTGCTTTTTCTAGCATTTGTGCATTTTGTCAGGCTACTGTCTTTCCAATCAGACTTCTCTCTTTTGCCTTATCTCTTGCAATTGTTCTCTCCCTGTCCTCCATGTTCCTTTGTTTCTGTTTCTCTGCAACAACCCTGGCTGCAAAAAAATATATATTGAGGTGATTTTCCTCATATAAATAATTTTTATATTTATATTTTTATTATATTATAATTCCCCTAATAACACTATTCCATGCAAGCATTTTCACAAATGGTTAACATCTCTGAATAGATAAAGATGGGGGCTTTTTTTGCACTAGAAAGAGCCTCAATTCTCACAGGTTGTCTTGGAGATGAACTGCTGACAATAAGCAGACCAAACTCTGCAGTCAAAGAGCGTTCAATACATTTTCTCATCAATTTCATTTTCAATTTAAAATGAATTCAGTCTGCTGCTTCTTTTGTATTGTCTCAGTGTCCAAGGACTGCAACTTTTGTGACTGACTGGCTGACTTCTGTTCTCTTGAAATTTCCAGCAACTCAAAGAACTGTTTCTGAAATGTGTGTCAGTTTTTTTTTGAGGGGGAGACTACTTGTTCCAACACTAAAAGATTCCTCACCTTGAATTCGGTTTTGCACCCACTGATGAGCTAAGGGTAGCTCAGCTCACAGCCCCCAGACTAGTGTGCCAAAGTCAGGTCTGCAGCTCTCTACTTCAGAAGTAAACACCCGATCTGTCCTCTCTGTCAAGATACCACCAGGGTTTTCATTGATGATGATTTTTCAGAAGTTATGTTGTGAACTAAGTCACTTGCAAAGCTCTGTAGCTCCTTCCAAAACTAAATTCTAAAAGCCGAACCCCTGAAACATTCCATCTTCTGAGGTAGTAAGTTATTGTGCTGAGTTGTGCTATAACTAGGGCCCGACCAATATGGAACTTTTGGGGCCGATACCGATATGGATATTAAGAAGAAAAAAATAGACGCCGATATATCGGTCAATATCTTTCTTAGATCTATGTTCAATCTTTAGAGATAGAGATAGATGTAAACATTTTCTGCATTGAGCCCTAAAATGCAGTTATCAAACACTTGTGGAAAAGATGTAAAATGAAGACAAGATGGTCACTCAACTGAAAAGTAACTGCGCATGTACATGCGTCACCACTTGACACTCTGGAGAATAATAATGCTTGTTGTAATCCATATAGCATGCTCTGCTAGTGAAAGACAACTGCTAGTGTAAAACAATGATACTCAAATGAAAATTAGCCGATACAGATAGTAACTGGATATGCTAATATTGGCCGATATTATCGGTCGGGCTAGTGGGGAAGCACTGATGTATTGTTTAAACGTCAGTGTTAGCTGATATCAGAACTGTTAAAAATACATAGGGCCATCTTCAAATGATGTGGCATGCACCAATCTCAGTAGCTGTTCTGATTTGTTTTTATGGTCAAATGTGAAAGAAAAATGTCGGCAGCTTGGGAGTCTTAGACCGCCTCTGATAAAGATCAGTGACATGCAGTTTGTAAGACATGCTCGAGTGACATTTCAAGACGAGGGGCTACTCATAACATTTAAATGCAACCAATTGCATAGAACTTTTAAAAACAGACACGATACATTACAAAGAAGTCCTGAAGAACACATCAGTGTCAAAAATCAGCATTTGGCAAAGTTGTTATTTTAAACATCAGTATCCATACCAGTCCTGATTTCCACCATTAGTGCATCTGTACTAATTAGAAAAAGTTTGAACTATTTGTATGATTCAACATAAACACGCAAGCCTGTCCAATTTTCAATTTGACTTTGAAAAAATAGACAAACTGTGCCACAAAGTACTCCACAATCAGCGCTCTATTCATCCCGGCAGTTCGAGTGTAAAGCCTCCCACCCATTAGCGTCACACGCACTCTTGCTCACTCACTCAGATCCTCCTTCTCTTTAGTCTAAAGACAGACGAGGTGGAGAGAGAGAGAGGCGTTATGTAACCTGTGAATTAATTTTAGCATTGAGAGACTCCACTCCATGTTTTAATAGCCACTCTCTGTCTTTGTTAATGGAGCTTCAGAGTGGGTGAGTATATCAGGAGGTATCAGTCACTCAGCCCACATCAGTCTTCACACTGTGATGTTTTCCAGTGTGCGGACACAACCCACAGTCACCCCATCAAACTCAGTCACCTCTGCGTGTAGTCACAGGCACTGACTCACTCAGTCCATATTTAAAGCATCTGTAAGAGATCTACATGATTAGTCATATTCTTTTTTTAATCGTACTGTGAAGGCTCTCTACAACCAATTAGCTCTGAAACTGTTAGGAAATAGATGTTTGAATTGGCCAACTCTCATTTCTCTTGTCACACACAAACTCCTTAATGAACATTTTCTAGATAATTCCAGGACATATAGGACCTGATGTTTTCATCCATTCACAAATGCACCTCACACTGGGAGATGATCTGTGTCATATGAGCTACAATGGCTGGAAGGACAAAAAGTTCAGATCAAATTGGGGTGAAAAATATGTCTGTTTGTGTCACACATGCAGCCGACCCGGACTGTGTTGGGAAATGTTCAGATGTTTTCAGCATGTATTAGCCTCAGCAAAGGTGAAAGCAAAACCGTTGTTCTGTGTCTTATTGGTTCTTATGGGTCTTATTTTAGCTAAAACCATGACGTACATTCTACATTAGGCCTATTCAACTGGCGGCCCAGGGGCCAACTTTGGCCCACAGATGACATCAGACTTGACCGCAGATCACTTCTATTTACAGTTAAAAAATAAATGACTAAGAAAACTTTTGAATGTCTGTCATTGTTGCCACAGTAAAGTTTGAAAACCAGCACAGCACTCCTGTTTAATAGAAAATCTTTGGTCCGGTGCTCGCAGCCTATCCCAAGCTCGTGTTGTTGATTGGGAAAACGGCTTTCGCACATCGTACTGCTGTGGTGTGCTCGCTTGTCTAGCCCCCGGGTCCTTAGCTTTCTGAAAATGTGGTCCCCTGAACAATAGAGTTGAATAGCCCTGTTCTACATGATCTACATTACCCACAAACCTGACAGGTGGGAAAATTACTTTTGTTAAAGGACCCTGTTGGCTGTTTTGATCACATATTCGTTCCACAAGAGAAAACATTAAAATGAGTACTAACAGATGCATCTGAGAGATGTGTGGACCTCTCTAAACACATCAAAAAAGGAAGACAGTGACTGAGAGCATCCAAGATCCACTTTTACACATAAAGATAACAGAGTGAGTGAGAATGATGGCCTTTAAGCACACAGTTAATAATGTGCCTCTTTGCCCTGAGAGTACAGCTAACTTTCTACTATATACAGTAATTGGCTGGACATGCGTCATATTGAGGCTGGTAAACACAAATTTCAAATCTGCTAACTTCCTCTCCTCTTTTGCTTTCAGTCCTGGGAAGGCTAAAAACAGAAGCCATCCTCCAAACTCTTTAAATACAGAGTATATTTTTTTAAGTACAGCTCCAAACACACAATCTGTGCAGAAAGCCGAAGCTATACCAGGCTTACTGCGCCTTCTTACGGCTGCAAAACTATTGAACAGACAGACAAGCAGATTTCAGGGAAGGACGGGCTTCTCTCCGCATTGTGCGTTTTTTTTTTTAATTACCCAATTTTTACAGTGTAGTGGAGATCTGTGGCTATTGTATTGTTTGATCACAGATGTGAACAGTTTTGCAAAAACAATGAGCTGGTTAACTGTCCTCCCACATTTAGGAGCGTTGCATTTGTCCAGATACGATTCTTTTCTCGTTATTAAGTAATTATGAGCGGCTCAATAATGCAGCTATTGTCTACCCTGTTTTTTTCCAGATCTCTTTGAAACACTCAGTGGATGTGTTGTGGACCGTGTTGTTTACTGTAACACTCAAATGTAGCAGTGACCCCCTGAAAAAGTAATCGTTACCATTTGACTCTCTCACAGGCAATCTTTGCTCGAACACATCAAGTGTAAAGACCATTATGCTCCCGCTCCACAAAGCTATCTATAGGATCCCCTTTGAACTGGAAATATACTACCTTGAATGCTAAGCAGCACCACTGCTTTAAATTCAAAAGCTTTCTGACTTTTGCATCTGCTTTTCTTTCAGCACAAAGGTAAAAACCTACCATGATGTGATTCCCATTTCCTGCCTTACTGAGTTCCCTAACGTGGTTCAGATGGCCAAGGTAAACCACACAATGTATAAAGTATAAAAAACATTTTCTCTTGATATATATTTTAAACCAGAATAGCTGAATATGCCTCTCTGCCTCCAGCTTGTTTGTGAAGAAGTAAACGTGGACAGGTTTTACCCCGTCCTCTACCCAAAGGTAAGCACTAACACTGTTTTAAATACGGTTTTTTTAAGCAGGTTATGAGACAGACTGAAGTGATACTGACACCTCTATGTGAGCAATGAGGTGTCAGATAAACATGTGGCAGAAACAGCCTTTGTTTACATTTCCACAAGAGTCATATCTGTTCAAAAGCAGAATTAGATCTATTGTCAGAAAGCACAACTTGCACATATACTGAACAAAATCAGCAAAGAGATAAGAGAGCACTGCACTCTACTGCCTATTGCACTATACTGCCTTCAAATTGCCTTATGTTTACTTTGGATATTTGTATATATTATTATTGTTTTTATTATTATTTGGCTATGTTTAATTTTAATATTTTATTGTTGGCATTCATTGTGGACAGCAAAGAAAGAATTTCATTGTACAGGGAAACATGTTTCCTCCTGTGCACATGACAATAAACATTTTGAATCTTTTGAATCTTTGAATCTTGAATCTTGAATCCGCTTTGTCCACCGGGGGGCGCCAAAATCCACAAAAAGCTAGTTCCTCACATTAGCTCCAAGTGGCAGTGTGTCCGAACACCATGCTAGCATTAGATATCCTGTCACAGCACACATCATCCGGCGATCGTGATCCACACCGCCTCTATTAAATATGTACTTCATTGCTCTGTGAGTTTCTCTTTGTAAACATCATTATGTTAACATATCGGGCTTTTGTATTGAAGGTGAAGAAAAGGTAGTTTGGTCCTTTTGTATTGAGGAGATATTAACTCAAATCACAACACTCACCAGATCAATAAATGACTCCTGGTGAGCCAAATGAAGTTTTCCTCCGGTGTTGACACGAGGCGCAACAACTCAACACAGATAATGGATGTTATTAGTGCACCACTATCTCTACTTTGTTTATCTAGCTAGCAAGCTGTGTTGAGAGAGAAAAGTGAAAGAAAATCAAAGGTTTTCTGTTACAATCTGCCATGCTTCGTACTCGTTCCTCGTCCATGTCTTCCCGAGTGACAGGAATAACAATAGAACTGGTGTCTGGGTTTAAACAGATGTGTGCGTCACTTGCGAGCAATTGGATCAATCTGATTTTGTGGCTGTTCACTAACTTGCCTCACATGACATGCTGTAAGATGTTTTACCAATCCACTTGGAGTTTATTCCGTCCATGAACTGCTCCATGTGGCTGGATATTTATAAGCTTGAAGCTAATGTTAGCATCGGATTATGAGGAAAAACTTAACAGTAGTGCAGTTAGCATAGCCTACAATATGGTGCTAGCTTGCTCAACAATTTAACTTGTACATATTAAGATAACAAATACATTTCAATTTCCTGGCATTTTATAGGAAATTAAGTTTAGAAAAATCCATCTGTGCATCACCTCTGTCTTCTAGCTTTTCCAGAAAAGTGGCAGATGTTTTTGTGGCTTTCTGATTGTATTCAAAACGATAGCTATAGAGAGACAGTAAATGTGTGGAAAGGCAGAGGGTAGACATACACCAAAAGGCGTCAGGACTAGGACTGGCTCCTTCCACCTGTGCGACAAGGACTGTAGCCTCCGTACATGGGACGCCATCTCCACATACTGAGCTAAACCAGCGCCCTGTGTTTTGACTCTTCTGAATATAACTTTCCTTACCACATCTCTGAAAGCTTCATGTCCTCTCATCCTTAGGCATCAAGACTCATTGTCACCTTTGATGAGCACGTGATCAGCAACAACTTTAAGTTTGGTGTAATTTATCAAAGGTTTGGCCAGGTGAGTTCACTTCTGAGATAACACTCTTAATCTTTAGCTGTTGAAGTGTCCTTCCCCCTGAAAGTGTTATCTTCTTCCTCCTACGCAGACGGCAGAGGAGGAGCTGTTTGGGAACATGGAAGAAAGCCCTGCCTTTGTCGAGTTCTTGGAGATTTTGGGCCACAAGATCGAGCTTCATGACTTTAAAGGGTTTGGAAACTTTTCACCTTCTACATCAGCAGTTTTGGTTCATTCATAGTTTTTATGCTCCACCTCGTGTGTGTCTAAAACTGGCCATCATTCACTCTGCTATTGATCAGCGTTGGCTAAACATGAATCGCTGAAAAGGCGATTTGGAGTGTCCTGATATTTATGGTATAGCTGACATTGTGATTTAGTGGGCTGGAGAATTGCTCTTGGCATCCGTTCAATGATGGATGAGCATGGATGGAGAGCATGCTCTTCTCCTTTGTTCTGTTTTCCTCCTGTTTTTTTTTTTTTTCTGAAATCCTCTCTTTTTGCATTTTCTCATCCTTTATTCTCCTCTTCCCTTTATTGTTTTGCTTCCGCCCTTAAATCCTCCCTCTCTTCTTCTCTTTCTTTTCCTCTGCAGGTTTCGGGGTGGGCTGGATGTCACTCACGGTCAAACAGGGACGGAATCTGTCTACACAAGTTTCCATAATAAGGAGATTATGTTTCATGTGTCCACCAAACTGCCTTACACAGAGGGAGACTCACAGCAGGTACAGTGGCATTCCAATGATTAATCATGTGGGTACCTAAGTGTTTTCAAGGCACTCGTACTTGCCTAGTTAATTAATTGAATAGGCCTCTACCTGTTTCAGACTATACCCATAGCAGCTAAACGGTCGGGCTGTAAAATCAGCTCACTCAGCACAGAGGCTGGAAAGTCAATGAATTTGAACAGGAGTTTTCTCCCTACTACCAAAAGTTGCCATTTTTAATTCCTGATCCCTGCCTCATATCTGCCTTTTTCCTTCTAAAAATGAACTTCTTGAAGGTCTTCTCACTATCGCATGCAAAGAAACTTGAGAAACAGAAAGAGTGTGACTTACTCCAGTATCACAGGAGGATATTCTTTGCTGTGACATAGTGGAGTCATTTCTTGTAATGTTGACCTATTAACCAATTGTTTTGTTTTAAGGAAAATTTATTATTTAGAGTATTTTCAATTTGCAAATACTTCCCCCACTCTGTCTATACTTACTCTGTCATTCAGTGGGAACCAGTGATTGATGTTTCATGCAAACAATGAGGAGGCGGACATTTATAACCATGTAGACATAAAAGATAAATCTGTTTATATGTTGGCTTAAGCGGTGCGTGTATAGGATTTTTTTATTTCCTTTGGACAGATCTCGGCTAGCTGTTTCCCACTGATTGCAGTCTTTGGGCAAAGCTAAGCTCACAGAGCTGCTGACAGTACCTTCAGATTTACTGCTCAGAGATGAGAGTGGTATTGATCTTTTCATGGAATGCTCAACAAAAAGCTAATACACTTAGCATACTGCCCAGAATGAACTACACCTGTGATAAATTAACCCAATTAGAAGTAAGCGATAGTGATGTGCATTTGCTAAGCAGTCTATTTTCTTCTTTTAAAAAAAACAAGCTTTTAGAGGCATTATAGTTTCCAGTACTGGCATTGAAGACTTCCTTTTCGATGTCATGTCACTTTGTTAGTTGATCTCTCCTGCACAACCTCTCAGGTTAAACTTTGTTACCACAGTAACCCTCCAAAGGTATAAAGGGACACAGAGGATATAAACAACACACACATAGGATGATTCATCGGGGAAGGCAGGAACAGGTGCAGCTTTTGGAGCATTGCTGTATTTCAGTGCAGAAAAAACAGAGTTGTTGCAGCCAGTCAGATCTGAGTTTGACACCGTTTTCAAAAAGGTTCGAGGGGTCTGAGTCGAGCCTCGCTGAGTTTGTATCAAATGTCTACCTGTTGTCCATCTGCACAGAGACAGTGTGAGGAGATATTAAAGGCTGACTGCTGATAAGCTCAGGATGATGCTGGAGTAACCTGCTCCCCCTGCCTCTGCAGCCACATGGATTCATGCTCGCTCACTCAGTTTTTACTACTGTGGTAGAAAGACATTTTAACAAAGATATACTGTAGAGTTTTATCCTAACATATAGCGAGACTGTTCCCTCAAAAAATGATTTACCGGTAGGGGCACCGGTAGCCTAGTGGTTACTGCATGCACCCCATGTATGTAGGCTTTAGTCCTCCAAGTGGGCGACCCGGGTTTGAGTCCAACTTGTGGCTCCATCCCACATGTCAATCCTCACTCTCTCTCTCTTCCCAAATTTTTGACTCTATCCACTGTCCTGTTTCTAAATAAAGGCATAAAAGCCCCAAAAGAAAGCTTTTTCTTGCAGTTAAACATCTACAATTCTTAATTATATGTCAAAAATCATTCATTACAATTAAAAATATGAGACATTAACTAATTTTGGGTTCTTACTTTTTTTTTCTTTCAACTAAAAAAAAAAAAACGTTTTCCATTTACTAAATATTTCTGGATGCTACTTTGAGAACTTGCCGGTTCCTGAAACAGATGGTAGATTGTCCTCATGTGAACAAACAGTCTTTAACAGACTGTAAAATAATTAGACTGCTTACTGGAAAAGAATCACCTATAAAACACAGAGCAAACATTTACTTTGCACACAATCAATCATCTCTTTAGACATTTTAGTGCTGCTCAGGCGGTCAGGAAAGCGGATATCAATAGATGTGAAGTGGCTTGTTGAGGGCGATTCTTTTGTGTCAAACAGCCTGATTATTGACTAAGGCTAACCAATGTTCTCTGCTAGTGCTGCTGTCATGATATCGATGTTGTTGCTTTAAAGATGGAGTATGTATGGGAGGTCTGTCCCCCCCCCCCCATCTACGCTGAGAATCCGTTTATCACTAAACCATCCGTCTGCGGAATCTGATATATGCTTTTATTCCCATGCTGCTGTGGAAGGATTTTGGTTTGCAGAGTGTGATAATAAGTATCTATTTCAATTTTGAAGAGTTGGACAGAATATGCTGACATTCTGATATCTACAAACATTTCAGAATGTTTTACTGTTGGATTGCCCCGAGGAAAAACATTTCTGAAAGGGTGTTTTTCAGATTTCGAACAGAAAAAAAAAAGCACAAGTTAAAGTTGTTATTACACATATTTTTCATTCGATACTTTTCAACAAGAAGAGATAAAGGAAGATTTCCGCTTGCTAAATTAGATTCCTAGCAAAAGGCAATAAAGTTACAACATTTATATTCTAGCAAGGGAAGCAGGTGGCCCTGAAACACTTTGCAACATCCAGCCTTTTAAAAGAGATTGCCTGGCTCCAATGGTTTGGATTGCTGACAGACAGCCAATAACAGAATCATAAACTTTGTATTGCTTGAACTTAAATTGATTGCTTGTGAACTAGTGATTGCTATTTTGAAAGTTCAAATCTTATTTGACTTAGTGTGGGTAAAAACTAAGATAAACAAAATGCACACTGATAAGGGAAACAGTTTTATGTGTATTAAGTAATTTCTTTTTAACTTAATTAGTAGATTCTTAGTGTATGAAGTCTATGGATAAAGAGAAAGATACAAAAAAACTATTTCCTTTCCTTTTTTTTGTGATAGCTGTGTCACCTTGAATGTCATATTTCTTTGAAAAAAAGGTTCAACCTTCAGACTAAAGCTATGTCAGCCTCTCTCAGGGGACTAGATTCATTCCCTGGAAGTAATCCTGGGACTTCAGCCTGTGTTTTTGACCCTTTAAGTGATGATTTGAGATGTTTCCGCTCCTGTTAGTCGTGTTTTTCTGTCCCATGCAGCTGCAGAGAAAGAGGCACATAGGCAACGACATTGTAGCCATCGTCTTTCAGGAGGAGAACACGCCCTTTGTCCCAGACATGATCCAGTCCAACTTCCTGCATGCGTATGCAGTGGTGCAGGTGGAAAATGCATGTACGGACAATGTCACCTACAAGGTCAGTCTCCTCGGCCACCTTCACTTCTCCTGGTAAACCCATTTTAGATTCACTATTACATAATTCAGGAGCTTTTTAGTCCTCTGTGTGGCTTTAAAATGTGACATCAAGTATCACACTTCATATTCACCGGGTTTTTTCCTCAAGGTGTCTGTGACAGCGCGGGATGACGTGCCTTTCTTTGGGCCCGCTCTGCCTGACCCTGCCATCTTCAAAAAGGTCAGCAATCGCATAAATCCACAAACTCACCCCTCCCCTTACCTACTTACATCATAATAAACCTTTATATACTCTGCCTTTCTGTCTCTCTATTTTCTTTTCTCAGGGCCCAGATTTCCGTGAGTTCCTCTTCACTAAACTCATCAATGCAGAGTACGCCTGTTACAAGGCTGAGAAGTTTGCCAAGCTCGAGGTGAGAGGATATTTATGATTCAAACGCCCGTGTTGTGTGTGGTTTGTATGTGTGTTTTTAGATGTGTGCACACTTGAGTAAACACTGGTTCGCCACAGTGTGCATCCTGTTGGCTCTATTCTGTGTGAGATTTCATGTGAGAACAAAGATTCATTGTAACTTTGGATTCCTGTCTTCATAGCACTATATACACTCCCACACACATGCACAATTGACTATATAATTACTATAAGGCACTCCAAAATGGCAGTAATCCCTTACTCACCATATACCGCAGCTCTGAAATAGCAGCTCCTCAGCTTAAAATAACGCATGCTGAGAAAAAGGAATGATACAATTTGAACACAGGATTCATTCAGATTTTTAATTTTAAGGTTGTAAAATGTCTTTCAAAGTATTTTTCCACGTAAGAGGTTGTGAATTTTAGCTGGCACTTTGAGTAATTTTAGCCTAAATAAACCTAGTGAAGTGTTGTTCGCAATTTTGATTCTCTGTTCACGTGACAAATCATGTCATTTAAGGCAGCATTCATTTACTGCAGTGTATTACTAACTAACTAAACAGTGAATATCAGGCGACTTGCAAAATATGCAGCAACAAAAAAAAACCTTTGAATGTGGGACAATGGAAAACACAGCCTTCTTTGTCTCTTTGTTTGGGTCTTTAATAGAAAATCTTAAAAATACTTAAATTGTATTGTAGCAACCCTGGAACACATTTAAAATGATATCTGAGAATAAAACAAATCAAAACTAACCACTCTTAAACGACAACCCTTTGGCAACTGAGCTCGAGTGTTATCATCTTGATGTGATGCTGTTCAATCATTTTTAGCAATGACACCTCTAATTTAAAATGATCCATGAATTTCAGATTTAACATAAAGTTTCAGCACCTGTGCAAACTGACTTTGCTCTCGTTGATAGGAGCGCACACGTTCAGCCCTGCTGGAGACTCTGTATGAGGAGCTGCACATAAACAGCCAATCCATGATGGGTCTTGGTGGAGACGAGGATAAGCTGGAGAACGGGGGCAGTGCAGCAGGAGGAGGAGGCTTCTTTGAATCCTTCAAGGTAAAGTCACATCCCTCATTTGACTCGCAGCACCTTTAATCTGCACCTGCACATGCATGCAATAGAACAGTTATTACTGAAGACTTTTTTTTGGATTCCCCCCCCCCCCCCCCTGCACTCCCCCCTGTTTTGGCTGGGATTCTGGGTATTCACACATAAAACAAAACCTTGAAAATGTTGCTCTATCTCAAAGGACCAGTCCTTGTGGCGTTTGATTTTCTCACTTGGCTGTGACTGCTGAACTCGGTGTGTTTTCGCATGAGGCTGTGGTTTTGAAACTGGGGAGCGGCTTTTGTGTATGAAATGCTCTGACTGAGTGTGCTCCATCAATGACCATTAGGGCGGTGGAGCAGAGCCCAGCCGCTGAGCCATGGCACTAGGAGCTGTGATTGTGTGTGCCTGATGAACGATTTAATGACCCCTCATTAGGAAGCCGATGATGCGGTTTGCAGTTCTCCCCATTGGGCATCTCCCCTCGCAGTCTTTCTCCTTTGTCTGTGACACCAACTAGTTCTCAGCCATCTATTCTGTATTTCCATGCAACTTCACAGAAATATACCACCTTTTCTCTCAGCCTTTGATGTCTCTTAAGCTTCATCTCTTTGCCATACCTTCATTAACTGCATTTGTATGAATGAACTCCTGCCTGCAAATCCTATCTCCTCTCGGTCGTCTTGCTGCCTCTCTTTCCCTCCCTAACAACTCTACAAATCACATCTACAGAGATTTCCAACTCAGTCTTTCCCACTTTCTCACACTGCCTTCCTCATTCACACTGTATCTCATCTTCCCCTCCCCTGACACAAAACCCCACCACGGATTCTCCCCGTTTAATGACGACTTAGGAGATAAGAGATGAGGCTCTATTCTCCGCTCTTGCAAAGCCTACAATCTCTTTGACCTTCTGTGAACCTGCATCTCTTCCACTCAGCCCTCTCTCTTCCCTGCCTGTTGACCTGCACTGCCTCTAAGTGTTCAAAACTAATCCTGCATACACACATGCACACGCACATGCGAGCACAAACGACTGTGAATCGATTTGCACACACAAGTAAATCACACATGTCCATTTATGAATGTTTGTGACCTCATAGATTATATTTTATTCTGAAATATTCACACGTATTTCATAACAGTGTCAGCATTTAGTCACATTGTGTAAAAACAACATATTGACCTTAGGTTAAAAAATAAAACAATTTGGCGATCTACAGAACTGTTGACTCTATAAAATGCGTCTGGTTGCATAATACAGTTATGGTACATTGTATTTGTTTTTCTGAAAGACCTTTTTCACAGCAGATATTTTGACTAATAGAAAAGCACAGGTGTTTATAAAATCATAAATGATGGCTTAATTTTATAGGAGATGTACATATCCACTGTTTTATCATCAATTGCTTTATTGATAACTGTTTCAAAGCCAGCCTTAAGTTTGGCTTTATGGCCTATGAAATCCTACTTTTTTGGGAGCCAGGAGTGACAGGAGGTTGTCTACATATTGATACACCTCCCTATACATCTGTCCTAGTTGACAGGTATAGCTGTGATGTTGAGCAATCACTGTAACTATCAATTTAACTCAAATGTCATATTTTTTAAAATACCTGTATTAAAGAAGACTTCAAACTACAACCTCTAACGAGATTTAAAAAATGAAGGTGTCAGAGTGGCCATTTCCTGGTAGACTGCTTTTTGCAACCAGAGGAGACAACTACTCATTGCAATTGAAAAGAATGCAGGTTTAGTGGTCTCCTGAATTGGCTTTACCACGGCACTTGTATAGTACTTGTATCAAAAGTTGGAACCAAGCTACAACATCCGTGCTGGAGAATGAAGCCAATGCAAAAGTTGTAATTTTATTTAGATAAAGGACTTCTAAAACAACCACCTAAGTACTTTACACTGTAAAAATGGAAAATAAGCTTTTATACTAATAACAGTAGTACAATCTATTGGGATAAAAACGTCATAAAATAATGGCAAAATGAATAGTAAAATCTGTTGGGATTAAACATTCTTATCATGAATGGAAAGCCATGAATGGAAAGCCAGCAGCTCCTGGCCCCTCCAGGAGCTGCTGATTGGTAGACCTTAGTGCTCTGGCTGGAGCGTGAACATGGAGATGTTCACTTAAGCGAGGCGGTGCCAATCCACCTAATTACTTAGGCTTCATAATCCTCTTCACACCCCCAAGGGTGACTTCACTGTGACTACATCCATGTTTTATACAGTTTACTGTGGGAACCAAATTTGGGTTAAGCTGGGACAGTGAGTCAGCATGCACAGGACCAGGACCCTAAAAACTGAAACAGCTTTATAAAATTCAGCCATCTTTATGTGCTTTTCATATTGTGACAGTGACATGTCTACTGTGAAAAATACCTTTTTTGTATATTCAATGCAAATCAAACAAAAACTGGATAAACAAAATACCAGAAACCATTTGGGTATGAAGCAGAGTACTGTATTAACATATGTGTGCAGTTTTCAAAACCTACTTCCCTTGGATTCAGTTTGAGTATAGCATCACGTACACATGTGGTATCTCAAAGTGGATCCACTGACGGTATCTCCTCGTCTCTTTCTGTAGCGGGTCATCCGCAGCAGAAGCCAGTCTATGGACGCCATGGGCCTCAGTAACAAGAAGTCACACACAGTCTCCACTAGTCACAGTGGCAGCTTTACCCACAATCCCGCAGAGAGCCCCAAAACCCCAGGGATTGTAAGTAGCCCACTTTGGTTCACATGATGCCCACATAACACATACATTCAGGCTAATTGTTTTACTTCTTTCAGCAGTGGATAAATACACAGCCCTGCTCTTTTGTGTTAGCAGCACTTTAGCAAATTACTCCTGTTGGCACATTGTAGCACTTTAGTGCGCTAACATCAAAGCGTTCACTTTCATTTTTCATTTTGAACCCCTTTTGCTGTCTAACAAAGCGGCTTTCATTGATTGCTTTTCCATTTGCACACAGCGTTCCTACAGTATTAACTTTTTTTTTTTGTTGGACAAAATAGTATAAATCAGCATTCTAAGCATTTCATTCATTATCATCTGTTGAAAGAATCTTCATCACCATATAGGGTGACAACTAGATATGTAGGATGGTGTTCAAAAATAGAACAACCGTTGAATAAAAATGATTTCTTTGTCAGTATAAGGTGACTCTGATGTATGTGAACCCCAGTGTAGTCTCTTTCCTGAGTTTGAAGTGAGTGTATCCACTGTATGACTACCCAGACTCCCTCCCTCCTGAAGCTGCTTTTGTCATCACTCTTCCCTCCTGTTAACGTTAAAACTTTTCTTTGCAGACTTGTTCATGTGCATGCGTGGCTGCAGAATATGCATGGCACACAACATAAATGCAAGAAGCAAACTGTGCTGTTAAGTGTCGTTTTCAAAGATGGGGTTAATAAAAGCAGAAACCTTTTAAGAAATTAAGAAATTAAGTGAAAGTGATAAAAGCTTCAGCTCCTCAAGTCGCCACTTGAGGCTGCCTCCAAAAGTGAGTCAATCCTCAGGATTACACATATTAAAATGCCAAACTTTACAACAGATTTAAAGGAGCAAAATATTACTCTGACCCGTAGTGTTTAAAATTGGGACTGCAGTCCACATTCAAAACATTGGAGAGAGCTGAGTCGATGCCCGTGTTGCGGCCACTGAAGCTTCAATGTTTGGCCAGCTGTGCATCGGTCTTGACACCTTTCGGAAGAATGTCGGGTGGAATCAGACATATCTGAACCAGTCCGCTTGCCCGCTACCATCGCTTCAACACCTGTTGGTTTGCCGTGATAACTGGACTCATATCTGTCAAACCGAGGGGCATCTAAAACGGCCGTAAGGTGGGTGCCTTAAAACTGACAACTTTCCCGGATCAAAACAATTACAGCGCATTTAGGACAGGAATCCTAACGTAGAAGGACATGCTGGCTGCTGCATTTTCAAGTTTTGTGTACCTTTCATTTTTATCCATCATTATAATCCTTTTAAAACATGAGCAATCCAAAACATATCAAAACCCATCAAAGTATTGAAATATTTGACAACCTTAGCTCGGTGTCACCTCAGTTTCTTCACTTACTGAACATGACTTATTTGCGACATTGCAAATATCTGAAAAATAAAATGGCTTACCGGCTGTTTTTTTAACCTACTTACCATGGTAGAAGTCTGTACTCCAGCTTAACCATGATTAAAAATGTAGTATATTAACACTGTACCTAGCTTGCAGACTGTGACTGGGGGTTTGTGTCAGTCAGCCACTTGCTCTCTGCTGCAGGTGTTAGCAAGCAGCCAATTCCCCGATGTTGCACTAGCTCTTTTTGCGTTTCTTCGTCTAATATAAAACAGCAACCATCACAAACAGACGTTCCTTCTGTGGTACAGTAAACACAACTGTCCATCCATCCATCCATTTTCCTCCACCTATCTGAGGTCGGGTCGCGGTGGTAGCAGGCACAGTAAGTCAACCCAGACTTCCCTCCAGCTCCTCCTGGGAGTTTCTGAGGCATTTCCCTGCTAGACTGGCTATATAATCCCTCCAGCGAACTCGTCCAGGAGGCATTCTAATCAGAACACAACTGTTAACCAGCAAATGATTCAACTACTGTATTTTCCAGTAATGTAGACTGTTTAGTTTTGATGACTTAGCGTTTTACAGCCTTCACTCCTCTCCACTCCGCCCTCGTAGCGAAATATTGGAACATCTTGCTCCGAAAAACAAACGTGGTTTGGGACAAATATCCGAACGCGAGGCTTCAAAAAGGCAGTAAACAAAGCAATGCGTGGTTTCATATTGGCTTCTTCCATTATTCAAACAGTCATTGTGTTCATAACGAAGCCATGTGGGATTTGTTAACTGACAGTACTTTGAATTGGAACTAAAACAACCCCATTTCTGAAAAAAGACCAAGTTTTCTTAAGCTATCCCATTGGATTTTGTCAACCTTCTTTCCCCTCTCTTCTCCCTCTGAATGCATCACTAAACAGACCTGTATCCCTCAGGGTAGAAACTGCCGACATGCCTGCTTCTTCGGTGGTGTTCCCTCTCTCGCTTTGCCCTCCTGTGTCGGACTTTAGGCTGCTTTTGTTCTTAAAATCCTCTTACTTTATCCTTAATATCCTCTCTACTAACTCACGCTGCAGGCTTCCTTTCAGGCTCTTTTGCACCTTGCTGTTTCAAGTCTTTGTGCTTTGCGCATGATATCTTATGATGTGTTCTTTTTTTCCCTCCCTCACTCTTGCCTTTTTTCAATCTGTCACCTCCTCTCTCTCTCTCTCTCTCTCTCTCTCTCTCTCTCTCTCTCTCTCTCTCTCTCTCTCTCTCTCTCTCTCTCTCTCTCTCTCTCTCCTCTCTCTCTGTGCTTCCCTTCGCCCCGTCTTGCGCGGCTCAGTCATTGCTTGTTCCAGGGAAAAGTCCCAGTAAATATGGACGTCGCGGCAGTGCCATAGGGATAGGAACAATAGAAGAGGTTCATGTATATTTCTATTTTTGTCTCTTGTGCTACCTTCATTACTGTCTTTTCTTAATGTGTGTAGAAAGTGAATTATGGTCTAAAATGTTCCTTTAAAGTTTCTATAGCTGTGAGAGACTTCAAGATATATAGGTGTAAATAATCCTAAAGACAGCTGTTTGTTTATTTATGGTTTTAATCAGCATATCATTCATTCATACAGCAGCTAATACATGACAATATGACTGTTAGGAGTGATGATTCATTCATCTTAGTTTACATACATACAAACCGTCTTTAAAGGTAGATACTAGTGTTGTAGTACTCAAAATCCATCTTGGTCTCAAGACCGGTCTCGAGACCACTTTTCTCCCACAGCCACTCGTTAATGAATCACACGGCATCTTAAATAAGGGCTAAGCCCCAAACATTTTAGAATTCCAAGAGATTCAACTACACTTTTTTGTTGGAGTATTTTAAATAAAAGCAAAAGAACATCCAACAGGAGGCTCCTAACAATATAAACGGATATGATAAACACCTAATTTGGTCATCATAAAAACCTTTTTTTTTTTTTAATAAATCAAGTCCTTCCTGAAGCCGAGTGTGTCATTGGTCTGTAGAACTATTTTCCAAATGTGTCATTTTCTCATCATTCATTCAGCCTTCAGTTCATTATTCTTGCACAGTATTTCCTACTATAACATCCTACTGGTTAATCTACTGCACTGTCTATTGATTTCATGATGTGGTTGTGAAATGGTTAAACCAATCCCACAGCGTGTGTCTGACGTTCTTCTCCCTGCTCACTGTCAGTCACTCATCATTCCTGGGAAAAGCCCAACCAGGAAAAAGTCTGGACCGTTCAGCTCGCGTCGCAGCAGTGCCATTGGAATCGAGAACATCCAGGAGGTCCAAGAGAGGAGGTGAGAGGACAGAGCGGGAGCCTATCAGCAGGGAGTGGGAAATGAGGAGAGGATGAGTGTGGCAACGGATGGAAGCTGGGACATTCAAATGTGGAAACCAGCCATTGGCGTTTTAAAAACGTTACAATCGGAGGGGTTTTCTTGAAATGTTGTGACTTTTAAAATGCACAACGGAGATTTGACTTGATCATTACCTGCCTGCCAGTCCGGTGATTTGAACAACAATGGGAAGGTCAATGCTTGGAGAAAATCTTCAGCAGAGACAGAAAAAAAAACTTGATGCATTCAATGTTTGGACAGCCTCCAAACAATGATTCCTCAGCACAAGCATGAGGAAATTAAAGTTTATCCTATAAACTGAGCTAAAGCAGGAAAATTGTAAATTAGTCGTCATTTTTTTAAACTAATAAATTACTCAAATCAGCTTTTTAGTTTCATCTTCTACAAACAAGCAGCCTAAAGTGCTTTACATGGCAAAAATGAAAATACAAAAGACAGAAAATAAGGACGCAGTTTGACAACAATAAAAATTAAAAGTGGAGGCGGTAGTTCAGTCTATAGGGACTTGGCTTGGGAATGGGTGGGTCGCCAGTTCAAGTCTCGATGTGGACTTTAATTTGGAAATTGGTCTGGTAGCTGGAGAGGTGCCAGGGCACCTCCCGAGAATTGTCGAGGTGCTCTTGATCAAGGCACTGAACCCCAACATCTCTGCCGGGCTCTCTGCATAGCAGTGTGTAGCAGCCCCCCTCTGACATCTCTACACCAATGCATGTCCACAGGTCCTGCTTGTGCATTTGTTTAATTCAAGCCTATGTGTGTGAGAGGCATATTTCAATAACGGAGTGTAAGCCAGAATTTCCCCTCAGGGATTAATAAAGTATTTACAATTAAAAATAAAAAAAATGAGTGAACGTGTGCAAAAAAAAATATTAAAACTGCAAAAGAGTGTCAGAATCCAAAAATATTGAAAGGTGTAAAAACAGCAGTGATAGATAATAACGCAAGAAAGGTACAAGATGCCGCCAGGCTTTCAAATTATTCTACATTTTGAATACAGAGTTTTCCACTCTAATAATTAAGTCAGTGGGTTCCACATTTAAGTGCATAATATGAGTGTTAATGTATGCAGTATCTGTTTTCCACAGCGTTTTAATCTGTATTAAATCTTCCCCTGCAGGTAATTAAATCTCTGCAGCCTTTGGAGGGCAGCAGGACACGTATGTTGGAAAATGTGCAGCCACTGATTAAAGTACCATCCAGTGTGCAGCGGCCTTTAGCCCCGGCCCTCTTGTGCACCCTGATTAAATCACATGCAAATTACAACAGCTGCTGCAAAATAACCACATGCGTACAGTATATCCCTTAATACATCAGATCAGACCGTTTTACTCCGTGTTCTGATGTTTATTTGAGAGACAGAAGTTTGTCAATGCCAAGTGTTATTCTCTATTGTTTATGCAAACGTTGCTATAAATGTGTCCAATGCTTCTTTATTTATTCAGCATTTAAATGTGGCCTTTATCCCATGTCATATTAGAGATGAAGCATTCTTATAGCCTAAATAAGGAAATATGCCACCATTAGTTAAACAGCCGATGGTGTGACAGATAAAAGACATCATCTGTAGCTGATGTGAAATATTTCTCAACAGTCTGTTGAAGTGTCACAGTTCAGAATAAGTCAACTCACACTATTTTCATGTGTCAATCTCCATCTCTGTCCTGAAGCCGTGAGGTGTCGCCCAGCACCCAGAGGATGCCGGACAGCTCCTACTTTTCACAGGAAAACCGATCAGACAACTCGTCCTGTCACAGCTCACCGGAATTTGCCGCGACTAAACACAGGTGACCCTTATCTAAGTGCATTATAAATAAGTTTAGGATACTGTGTAATATTCTACACACGTTTAAAGGTCATTAGTGATCTTTTGGGTGAGTGGGTAGAGAACTTATCAAGTTAGAGCAGCAACTCACTGGGCGTGACCTCAATGGTTGTACTCATATACCATTGGAAGCCATTTTTTATAAATTCCTGTTTGGTCATGTTAGTCGTACAGCTTACGGGCCTGTTTACATTGATGTAGTGTTTTTTGCTCTGGCAGCACTCACAACCTCAGTTTCTCATCAGCACTTATTGTTGCTAGGTTACAAAAGTTTACCTCCACTTCCCTTGGTAACAACCGCTAGGTCTGTTTTAAATAGCTCTATAAAATTGATATTTGCTTTAATTTAAGAAAATATCACAGAGAAAACATGAAACGTAAATGAATCATGTCCTGGCATTAGCAGCTGCTCTAGATGGGGAGTCAGATACATTTCTTTCTGCCGTTGTTGTCAAAGCTGATATAAAACCACGCCCTTTTCTTCATTCTGATTGGTCAGTGAGGGAAAAGTGACATTGACAAGCGCAGCAGGAATACATACCAAAAGTCAAACTTTTGTCATTTGAGAGATCTGTGAGCACAGAAATAAAAAACAGCTGACACAGATGGTGTTTTTGCGTTCTGGGCGCTGAGCACTGAAAACGCTGAAGGGCATTTGTTTTGTATTAAATGGGCGCTGCCAGTGCAAAAAAAAAAAAAAAACAGCGTTATTGTACGCATGCCTTAACTTGTAAAAAAATAAAACATCCTCTGATTCTGTAGCAGACACCAAACTTTGTGTACTTTAGACAAACTGCAAGACAGCAGTGTTATTATCAAATGAAGTCCTATAAATGTTATAATTAAGAGAATATATACAGACATAGATTTAAACTAAATCTCTGTTATTTTAACGATAGACTGGGCATGATATATTTTAGGAATATGGATTATGTTTGTAGCTCAAAGGCAGCACATGGCCTCATTTGTTTGTTGTTGTTTTGTCTGATAAAAACACTATCTATTGTTAATTTTTGCCAAGAATCACAAGCCCTAATTAAATCAGGAGTGTTGCAGTAACTTAAAACAGCTTGAGAGATTTTCTACCTTGGCAAGAACACAAACACAACGCTTCCAGCTTTCAGCTTCCAGCTTGATTGTAAGCGTCTGCGGGTGCTGTGATAAGAAGATGTTGGATTTATAAAGAGAAGTATAAACAATAAATACATAAAAGTAAAAAGAAAGAAACATTCAGTTCATGTTGCTTTGATAAGATCCGTCTGTTTGAGCGGTCAGAGTGACCTAGGTGTGTAGTATGGCCATGTGTTGCAGGGCGCCGTCCATCCCAGAGGCTCAGGACCTTTCCCGCTCTTCGTCCAACGCCAGCAGCTTTGCCAGCGTAGTGGAGGAGAATGAGGCAGAGGAGGAGTACGACACCGGGCTGGTGGGTGGAAAATGTTTGTTTCCTGACACAATACCCCAAACCTTATCGTTTTAGAAGACACAGAAAGTCCAGGAGTGAACGGGTCTCGTGCCTCCCTGAAGGGGTTCTTCTGCTGTAACAACCTGCTCTCTCTACATTACCCGACTTATTACACGACTACTAACTTAAACCGATTTATTTTAGGGCTTTTTTAATGCCTTCATTAAACAGGACAGCTTGAGAGAACAACAAAAAAGAAGTATGAGTGGGAGATGAAATACAACAAACAGCGTGCAGTTTGTAGTCCAACCTGCTACCAGTAAGACGAGGACCTTAGCCTCTGAACATGAAGCGTCTGCTCTGCCGACTGAGCTTAACCAGCCCCCAGAAATCAATCTTTTTCTTAATCTAAACAAACTGGAATCCACAGGTGCAGCTTGGTCCATAGTGAACGGTTCCCTCTGTAACCTTTTCTGGAGGAATCAATGCAGCACCTCAAAGATTTTTCATTTTTCGCTTCCCTGTTGGAGTCTATTGACATTTTCTTTTCCTGCCATCAGTCTTTAAACACCGCCTCACCATGTTCCATTACCTGTTCACTTTATGTGTATAATTCTCTGTCATTGCTCAAGTGTTTGCCTTTTTTTTTTTTCGTTTTTCACTGCTGCTTTCTTTTCCATCCCTCCATTATCTATACCGCTTTTCCTGTGCGTGACCCAGATCCCAGCCGTCACTGGGCGAGAGGCGGGGTACACCCAGGGCTGACATGTAGACTCAGACAACCAGCCACACTCACATTCACACTTAAGGAAGCTAGGGTACAAAAGTCTGTCAAAGAAAGAAGGGGGGAGGAAAAAAAGGGGGGAAAAGAGAGAAAGAAAAGAAGAGGAAAAGGGAAGAAAGGTATTTTTTATGAATCTGCCTTACATCAGAAAAGTGTAGAAAGAATAATTTTGATGAAAAAAACATGTTTTAGAACAAAATTCTTGTATTGTTATACACATTTGAAGGATAAAAGCTGTTTCCAAAGGTCTCACCTTTGGCAGGACAAAGTGCACTAGGCTGAGGAGTTTACTTATTTTATTCCTTGTAGTTCATTCCTCATATTTGCATATTACACGTTTGTTTACACATAACCATAATTATTCATGCTTTATAGAGGCTGATTTATCATCATTAAGTATGTATAAACAATTCACCAGACATTTTAATCGACAACACAAACAAAAGGAAAGAGGCTGATGATTTAGTTGTTACCACACTATTATTTATTTTGAATTAGATAAGGTTGTACCCCTGAATTAAACAATAATCAGTCAGATTAGGCAGAGCCCTGCTTTCTTCTCCTTTCTCTTAAATTAACAGACTGACATCAAATGAACCGGACTACTTTCCGTGGATTGATATGGTTACAGTGAGTCCTCCAGAGTCTGTGATCAGGCATTGTCTCTAACCTGTCACTTCATACGGCTGAAGTGCATTTAAAGATGCATGCCTTTTGTTGAAATGATAGTTCAAGTCAAGTCAAGTCATATTTATTTATAAAGCACATTTAATATATATATCAACGGACTACTTTATTTCATACAGACTAATAATAACACAAAATTCAAGTGCATACATCAAAACCGAAAGCAGCCGGCAGCTTCTCACAACTGATTCCATTAACATTTGTTCCACTTTCACTCTAGGGGTAATCCACTTGTTTTTATCTTTTGTGTTACCTAAACAATTACACCAGCAGCTGTGAGAATGTTTGATGGATTGCGCTCTATCCCTGGAATGACAGGTCTGAAAATGTACTGCATAGTAATACATATTAATGACATTTCTTACACTTGCAGCATCTTAAAAGGAGGTTTGAAAAATTGAATTACTGTCATGAAGTCGAGCTGTGGTTATGTGTATGTCTTTTGTATGTTTTTTTTTTAAAAGCCTCTTCTTTTCTTCAGGAGAGCGTGTCTTGTGTTACTCCAATCAAGAAAGACTCTTTTGTGTACAGCACTGTGCTGGAGGACAATACGAGCAGCACCAGTCAGGAATGTTTTGCAGGTGAGTTTGGGAGAAAACAGCGGCTCATATTACTGTGCAAGTCGTCGCCTGAAGGTATGAGAAAAGTTATCAGAGGTCAGCTGTATCACATAGCCATGGTATCTGAGGACATTCTAGATGAGGTAGATGTAAGAATGAAACCCTTTTGCTTCCTGTGTAATTAATATATGAAAACCCCTGACAGGGGACTTCAACTCAAGTCTAACATCCTACTCTTAACCCTCTATGCACGAGTAGCTTGGAACAGCTGTTCAACATTTCACCTTAGCCCCCTTCTTCTATAATACTTTTAATACTTTTCTAGAGTTATATAAACCTGAAAACTGGACTCAACTTTCTGTTGAAGTTAATTAAAGATGTCGTCATAACCTGAACTGGAAATATATTTTTTAACATAAAGAGACACCAACAGGTTTCTCCTCTCAGTCTAAGTATTCACCACATTCACACAATGTTAATTTTCTCTGCGGTCACACTCCAGATGGGAAGCTCAAGTGCTGTCACCATGTTGTACAGCTCTGTACATGGTTTGCTAATTAACCCCTTTGTCAAGCCCCGCCCATCTTGGTTACTGTTACTAGGTTCTTGTCCCCTGTCGTTCTGTCGTGGGCTGCTTCCCATTTGGAACAATTTCAATTAGCTTGAGATTTGACAGACTTTTAGAAACGAGGTCTCAGAGAAGGAGTAAGGACAGAGAAACATTAGGGTAACAGGTCAAGACTAGGTCAATGACCATTTCTGTAGCCAGGGGTCTGAAATATCCTCTTAATGTCAGCAACAGGGCCTTCAATACGCAGGTGAGAGTTGACATCAGAAGAACATGGCCAACTTGTGAATCTGGTAAATAGCTCCTCTAAAAAGCTAAGACTCTTGGTGATCTTATGGAAGCCTAAAATTGAATTGGAAACGATGTCAATCTTTATCTGTTTACTCATTGTTTTATTGTCTACAAAGACCCAACATTTCTCCATCATGAGCACAGCACTAAACAACATTAAGCAAAGTTACAGTCACAAAGAAAAAAGTTCCTTTAAGAGGGAGAAACCTCGAGCAGAACCAGACTCATGATGAACAGCCATCTGCTGAAATTGTGTTGGGCTTGGAAAGTGGAATAGTGCAATCTCCTATGCACGGTGGAAAGCATTATCATCATCAAGGAACTCTTTTTTTTTTTTTGCCTAATAATATTATAACCACTGTCTGTACACCGACACCGAGTCAGGTTTTACCTCCATAGGGCAGAAGCAGTTTTGATTTTTTCAGTTTTAAGTTTTATTATAGCCCATAAAATCTAACTAATGAGTGTTAAATTCCTGAATTTAGTGAACATATTCACAACAATTTTGTTACTACTTGTTGTTTGTCTTGTGTTTTTTTTACGTGGTAAATCCAGCATTTTATAAAAATACATATTAGGTAAATCAAGTCAAATGACAGAGGAGGTTGTTTTTTTTAAACGACTACTTGTTATTAGGGCCCGAGCACGAACCGTGCGAGGACCCTCTTGAAACCCTAGCGATTATTATTTTTATTGTTGTCCTTTTTATTGTTCCGCCACTTTGCGGCCACTTTTGAGGGCCTGAACGTACCCGAAAACTCACCAAACTTTCCACGGTCATCAGGTCTCGTGAAAAATGTGATATTCTGGTGGTTTCGTAAACGGTTCGCAGCAGTTCGCAAAATGGCTCAGTGGCGCCCCCTTGAAATTTTCAAAATGGCCTCCACATAAAGGGTTTTTTCACGTATTCTCATGAATTCTCACGCATATTAAGCTTGTCGGGACGGACTAAAAATCCTCTTGCAGCGTTTCAAAAAACCCGACAGGAAGTCCACAAATTAAAGTTGAATTTCACGATAATGGCCCAAAATTGCTCAAAATCGACGATTTCAGCCTTCCTATTTGAACGCACTTGTCTGAGGGCGCTCATCCGATCACTGCAAACTCAGTGTCAGTGCGTTCTAGACAGGCTCAGCATATCTCGTTGTGCTCCGCGCGTTATTTCGTCAAAGGGCGTGGCCGTGGCATGCGTTTGAACTTTTTTGAGCGTTTTGGCAAGTTGCCAAAAAAGTAATTGCTTATATCTCTGCCATCTAGCGTTTAATCATATTAAAATGTCTCATGCATGATACGAGACCCGCCCTGAACACAGCGCCACCTGTTGACAACAGGAAGTTACTGCTTCTCAATTAGCATTAGCCATTGCTACACGGTACCTCATTTTCCCCTCAAAGTTGGTGTGGACCATGCTAACACCTTGGCCATACAACACTTTCAAGCTCAAACGCCTACGTCCAACGTTGTCGCCATACGGACACGTCGCTCGCCATCAAACAGGAAGTAGTTTTTTCACAGGCTTAACATAGTCGTACTGTCCCGAAACTTCATACATATGATCCTGGTAGTAAAGTCAAACATCTTATACCGTTTAAGTGAGTAGGCATGGCTTATTGGCTCAGTGGCGCCCCTTCCAATATTTCAAACATTCAGCCCCCGCAGCACGTTGAACCTACAATTCTGAATTTTACTACGCATTTCCAACATGACATTTCCAACAGACCAAAACTCAACAGGAAGTCCACAAATCACATCGCCATGAAACAGGAAGTGGCTGTAACTCTTATATACTTTGTCTTGTCTTCTTGAAATTACATAGGTATGATCAGGGTTGGCCTCTGAACACAGTGACATAACAATAGTCAACTTCAACCATAGCGCCCCCTAATGCAAGGACTAAGTACTACATCATACATACTTTCTCGGATCTGCTTTAAATTTCCCAGGTATGATCAGGGCTGGCCTCTGAACACATTGACATAACAATCATTTCCTTCAACCATAGCGCCCCCTACTGCAAGGATTAAGTACTACATATTGTACACTTTGTCTAATCTTTTTCACATTTCTCAGGTATGTTCAGGGTTGGCCTCTGGACACAATGACAAAACTATAATAAAGTTTAACCATAGTACCCCCTACTGCAAAGAATAAGTACTACCTCCCATATACAATGTCAGATTTTCACCAAATTTCACATGTATAATCAGGGTTGGCCTCTGAACACAGTCACATAGATATAACAAATTTTAACCATAGTGCCCCCTAGTGCAAACAATAAGTACTACCTCCAATATACAATGTCAGATTTGCTCAAAATTTCACATGAACAATGTCAGTACTGGTCTGATCACATCTAACCTAATACAATTATACCATTAACATTGCGCCCCCCTACTGGAAAGAGGCGGTACTGTATCTCAGATACTTTGTCTGATCTGCATAAAATTTCACAAGTATGATTAGGGTTGGCCTCTGAACACTTTAACATAACAACAGCGCCCCCTACAGCAAAGAGTAAGTACTACATCCTATATACAATGCTCAATTTCCTCCAAATGTTATAGCTATCATGATAGTGCCAGCCTGAACTGCTCTACGTCAAAATTTTCTGTAATCTTCATCACGCTGCCTATTTCAGCATACCATAGTGTGACTTTTACACAAATCAGACTGCACGGCCTGCTGCTTAGCCACATTAAGCTGCAGCTGCACTCCCGAGGTTGCGACACACCCCGACATGCACAGTGGTGCGAGGGCCCTTCATCACCGCTTGTGGTTTTAATTATATTTAGCTTCCTTCTGTTTTCTCTGGAGTAGTTTTTTTATATTGTGTGAGTTCTTTAAGTGAGTTCTCGGTGAACTGCAGCAACTTGCTACCACTGAACAGGGGTCAAGGGGGTTAAACAAATAAAGTTCACTATGTCTAGAAAGTCCCACGTTGCAAACTTATCTGTGATTCCCACACAACTTCTGCTACGCTGGAAATGTGTGTGTTTTTCCCAATCTATAATGACTCACTCTGAACCATTAATCTTTTGCATGCTTATCCTTTTTTTGGCAAGAACAGCTGGCAGCATGATAGCTTTGAGTTTATTAACCGTGACAGCCTCACATCTGTCGCTTTACTTCTCAGCAGCTCCTCATCCTCAGCAGCAAAGTGACGCAGTGAAGACATCAGAGCCAAAGGGGACAGACAGCCCGACCAAGACAGAGCGCCCCTCGCAGGAGCACAAGTTTTCACCGGTGAGACAAACTGCTCCGCATTGATCATTAGGCGACACTGCCATTACAAAGTCATTGGGGCACATGTTCCCTCAGATCCATTTTTTAATTGATTAATGAGGCAAAAAAACAAAATAGTCACTGCCCCAAGCACAAATCTAAATTTCTCTGGCTCTGAGTTCTGGGAAATTAACACTTTGACTTTTTGACTTTTGAATTGACTATTATTTGATAATACAGAGATTAGAAGGTACATCAACTGGGGTCAATAGCAATGCTAGAAACTCTTGATTGCTGTATGCAGGCACAACAGTGCTTTGAGCTTAATCCGATACGATACACTTCATTGTCCCCTTAGGGAAATTTGTCTTGGACTCAAAGAGCTGCTGAACATTCAGCTGCTTCCACTCGAATGCTTCTCATATCATCACACTAACATACAATGAAGATGGGATCAAATAAGATGTGATGACTGGGATTTTTTTTACCGTTAACAGCAGCTTCAAAGCAAAGCAAAACACAGTACACACAAAATTAATTCTAAAAGCTAATGTCACCATATTAACATGGAGGCCTTTTTTTTCTGGG